GAAGTAGTAGTAGTAGTAGTAGTAGTAGTAGTAGTAGTAGTAGTAGTAGTAGTAGTAGTAGTAGTAGTAGTAGTAGTAGTAGTAGTAGTCGTAGTAGTAGCAGCAGTAGCAGTAGTAGTAGCAGTAGCAGCAGCAGTAGCAGTAGCAGCAGCAGTAGTAGCAGCAGCAGCAACAACAGCAGCAGTAGCAGTAGCAGCAGTAGCAGTAGTTTTTCAAAAATATCCGGTTTAACCTTCAGGGTAATAATGGGATGTGTAGAGTTAATCACGTTCTCAGAGTATAGATTTGTGATTTTGAATGTTGAATTAGGAACCGACATCACATCACTCAGGACACTCCCATAAGCGTTCCGTCCCCTCCTCGGCAACAAGCAACGAGTTCCAATTCCGATGGCACCAGTGACTGTCTGTATATCTGTCTCGCCTTTCCATTGAGTGTTGAGCGTCGGCCAGATCCCATGGTAACTCCCCACAGTGCTATTCTCCTCAGACCGTGATGATTTATCTGTTCTTAGGCACTTTTGTTATTTTATATTTATGTATCGTGTAATTATTTATATGACCATTATAATTTGCATTGTGTCACATATTGCTTTAATTTGGATTATGATAAAAACTGTACTATGAATAATTAGACAATTTTACTAACATTGTGTCATTAACATGCTGGATTTTTCTCTTTCCTTTATCGAAATATTTGATTATATTTCTCAATTTCAATTTTAAGGTAAACTTCTTCAAGGATAGTATGAGCATTCTTTGCCTTTCTGTATATGGATTTTAGTTCTAGTAATTTCTTCTTCTTTTGCGTTCGACATCAGTCATGATAAACATTGAGTCCCCTCTGGGTCACAAATAGGATTGTGCGTTTAAGGTCGCCACCTTAGTTCTAGTAATATAAATTCCTTGATCTTGCCATTCTGGTATCTGGTGCTGTTTATGTGCAGCAAGTTTTCTATTGTCTTATGTAATTCATAACAGAGATTCATATATTCATTTAATAGTTTTGTTTGGATTTCATATTTCCTACACGCCAGCACATAGTGCTCTTTATAATTGTACTTTTGGCACAGATTACATGTCTCTTTCTGTAGGCTATAGTATAAACAGCAAGGCTAAAAAACCACTCATTAAATCCCAAGATGTTAAAAGAAGATGGCAAGAATATTTTTCTGAATTACTGAATAGTGGACCACAAGAACCAGTGTCTAATAAAATAAAATTTGGACAAGAACAAGAACCTAATATATTAGAATCTGAAGTTGAAAAGATCCTAGAGCAAAGCAAAAGAAACAAAGCGGCCGGAAAAGATGGTATTACAACAGACATAATACTTGCATGTAAGACAACAGCAGTAAAATGGCTGACAAGAATATTCAATATGGTAAAATCACAGTAATGTAAACATAAAGATCAATGATATATAATTAGAACAAGTTCAAGAATTCAAGTACTTAGGATGCAAATTTACAGAAGATGAAAGACTTGATAAAGAGATACAGGCTGGAGTTCAAAAAGCCAATGCAGTCAACTACCAACTGGCCCCACTTCTTCGTCATCCAAAGATCTCGTTACCAGCCAAACAACGGATGATCAACAGCATTTTCATCCCTACGTTATGTTATCAGTGCCAAACGCGGACAATGAACAAATCACATATGCAAAAAATAACTACGTGGGAAGAGTCACCAACAATACACGAAGAGACAGAGTCACAAACGTCAGCATTAGAGACAAAGTTGGAACAAGGGTATGCACGGAACATATTGAAAGACAGAGAATGAAGTGGTTTAACCATTTAGTAAGAATGCAACCGGATCAGATTGCCTATAAGGCCTTTTACAGTAGAACATCGGGAAGAAAGGCCAGAGGAAGACCCAGAAAAAATGGATAGATGGAGTAGCTGAATACGGCCAGAAGATCCAGAAAACTGTCACTCAAATCACGCGAGAGGCACAAAACAAATATTTTAAACCACGACACTGGGCTGCAACCCGGTAAAAGTGAAGAAGACAATAGATAGATAGATTAGATAGATAGATAGATAGATAGATAGATAGATAGATAGATAGATAGATAGATAGATAGATAGACAGACAGACAGACAGACAGACAGACAGACAGACAGACAGACAGACAGACAGACAGACAGACAGACAGACAGACAGACAGACAGACAGACAGACAGACAGACAGACAGACAGACAGACAGACAGACAGACAGACAGACAGACAGACAGACAGACAGACAGACAGACAGACAGACAGACAGACAGACAGACAGACAGACAGACAGACAGACAGACAGACAGACAGACAGATAGATAGATAGATAGATAGATAGATAGATAGATAGATAGATAGATAGATAGATAGATAGATAGATAGATAGATAGATAGATAGATAGATAGATAGATAGATAGATAGTATAGCAGCCTCATCCGAGTTGTAGTCTAAGTAGTTTTTGATTGCATTGTATTTTAAGTTCATATGTTATCTGACTTTGCCTTTTAATACGAATTTTAAAAACATGCACAGGAATCGTCGCCGGAGCTACGGAGCACGTGCTCTGCGCTTGACACATTTTTCAGCAGTTCGTGAAGAGAGAGTGGAGACGACGAGGAAATGGGGAGAGAATCAGAATGCTACTGGCGCTATTAGTATCAGAAATCTTCGCTAGCTGCTGAAGATGGGGACGGAGCGCCAGTATTTTCTTATATTAACAGTATTTTGTTGGATTTATCTAAATTTAATAAGCTAAAGAATTTAAAAACTTATACGAATATTCGGCTGCGAAAGAATTGGAGACTGCCTAAGTAGCTTGCAGTGCAAAAACAAAATGGCGAATTAGTGACAAGCCTTGCTTGACAACGCAAAACAAACACGTTTTAGTATATTACCTTATTAATTTTTTCAACAACTAAGTGAGGTAATTATTGTTACGGCAATTATTGTTGTGTATGTGATTTGTTTGTATCTTAAAGTTTTGGGGAATTATAACAGTTTTACTGGTGGGAAAAAAAAAGAAGCTTAGACTTGTTGTGACATGGAATGTCCAGGAATGACTGACTGCACACGATCACAATGAATTCAGTTCACAGCAGCGGCTGATAAGTAGGAGTATCCACAATAACTCGTAAGCACAGCAGCGGCTGATGTGTAGGAGTATCCACAATAACTCGTAAGCACATCAGCGGCTGATTAGTAGGAGTATCCACAGTGACTCGTAAACACAGTAGCTCAACCTGTTTGACATTCTATTGATATCACATCATTTTTGGGAACAAGATTTGCCTTCCTTCACTGATTAAGTTAGCTATAATAGTACAGGGCTGGATAGGTGCTTATCTGCCACTTTAAGAGGCTGGGTTCAAAACTATACTCAGCAGGTTCCGGGGGGTGGGGGGGGGGGGACGCTTTCAGGTTCGCCCAACCTTAAATATATGTCAGGAAATGTCCTGGGAAGTATAAATGGACATCATGATGTTGACCACATCACTGTAAAGTGTTGCTTAGTCTACAACTATGAGTATGGCATCTATACCAACTGACATGAAAAGGGTCCTTTATTTTTTTTTTTTTTTAAACCAATTAATTACAAATGCAGCCTGTTTCAGGACTTCTAAGCCATGCCATGTGGTGTAGTAGTATCTATCCACAACCATTTGTCTAGTGTACTTTTTAATCAGTTCTCACACAGATGGTCCTCCATGCCATGTGGTGTAGTGGTCCTATCTATCCACAACATTTTGTCTTGTGTACTTTCTGATCAGTTCTCACACAGATGGTCCTCCATGCCATGTGGTGTAGTGGTCAAATCTATCCACAACCTTTTGTCTTGTGTACTTTCTGATCTGTTCTCACACAGATGGTCCTCCATGCCATGTGGTGTAGTGGTCATATCTATCCACAACCTTTTGTCTTGTGTACTTTCTGATCAGTTCTCACACAGATGGTCCTCCATGCCATGATATCAGACTGTCTAGGATCTTTTCTCTCGGTCTCCCTCTTATCCCTCTAACATTAACACCGCATCAATAAACTCCAGTTCTCTCCTTTTCATGACATGACCAAAGAATGTAGATTTTATTTTTCGGATGTGAGCAGTCAGTTCTGTTTGTGAATTGGTTTCTTCCAAGACATCTTTATTACTCTTTATTTTTATCTTTCCAGGGTATTCTTATCATTCGTCTATAAAACTGCTCCTCCACCACTTCCAAATATTTTTTCACAAATTACGTTTCAGAATTATCTTTAGCAATGGAGTAGAGTATATGCTCTAGTTTGTTTGTCCTGCCTCAGGCAGTCCAGCTGTGAATTGCTGACTGCATTTACATTTTTGCAATATCTCCTGTAGGCAGAGAATCTCATGAGCAGTGTTCTGATCTCAAGTAAAGTAAGGATGCTAATCCACACCTCAAGACTGTATTGATTATATTGTGTTAACCCCATAATGTAATGTACTAATTTTAGCACTCAGTTAGGTGTCATGCCAGCCTCACCTTTTAATTTTTTATTTTTTTTTACTTCTCAAAACATTTCCTGGTACCAGTTTTTAGGCTGGTTCAGTATAGAAACCGAGGTAACTTTTTATTTTTAATTGTCTGAATGAAGGCTAGCCGCTGTTTTATTCTTGGTCATATTTTATGACTTCAGTCAAAACTTGCTAATAAATTCTTCTTCTTTTTAGCGTTGACCAGTTGTGAACTGCCGCAGAAAATTCTGGTTGTTTTTCCACTTCTGGACTTTGGTCTTGTTCCAGAACTTGGATGTGTGTGCACATCCATGTTATAAATCTTTTTTTTTTTTTTTCATTTGCAGACTCTTAAGCAGGTGCACTGTGATTTTGAAGGAAACACACATCTAATTAGTCACCTGTCATGCATGTTAGGGGGCTGTAGACTAAAGTAGTAGACATTACTCCTGTGTGGAAATGTTGATGTATATTTTCTAGTATATGAATGAAATTGCATTATTGTATCATCTCATACAGCCCATAGATGGCAGAAGTACATGTTATTGGCCAGATTGTTGGAGCATCTGGATTCCCAAAACATAGTTTGTTTTGCAAGTGGGGTGTCCACTGTGGTAAGTCAAACTATATAAAAGTGAACTGTCACATAATAGATTTTGTATTTGTGCACTGTAAAGTGTGACATGTCCCTGCAAAAAATCCACTCACCTGACATCCTGATGACCACTTTCAAGATGGGATTTGTAATTTGCTGCCTCAAAGGTCAGCTCAGTCAGCAATAATAAGAACTCCGCAGGGAAGCATGTGCAGCAGGAGTCCACCGATCATCAGTAAAAAGATCCCTCGTCGACAATTGTTTTGGTCCATCACCTTCCATACAGTCTTGAAGGGTGGGCCGACCTGGGTCATGATACACGGCCTCGATCTTCTCCTGCTGCATTTATTCAGACTCTTGGACAGGGACAAGACGAAATGGTGACTATGCAACAGGTACTGTGAGATTTGAAGTTATATACATTGTCGCTGCAGTAGCCAATTAGATCAACTGGCTAGCTTAACGACCAAATGACAAGCTTCTAGTTGGTTTATTGGACACATGTTATTTTAGCATTTAGCAGAGAGACACTGGCAGACATTTATCGGACACTTTGACTTTTAAGGGATAAGAAGCTCCTTTCCACTAGGAACTCAGACCAGTCTACCGTTGCCATCTCGCACGACCTTCTGTTGCGTCCAGAGTCAGCTCGAAGCTCTTTCAGCAGCTTCATCCAGTTGCTTTAGTGACTGTTTACGCTCGCTTCCTTGTAAGCCAAGCTGCTTTAGCACATTATACATGGAAGTGGGGATAAGACCTCTTGCGCCTACCTCGACGGAGAAGATTTTTACTTGTGTGCCCCGTCTCTTCTCAGACTGGCCACGAGATCACCGTACTTCTCGAGCTTGTACAGATGATTTTAATCCATTTGCAACTCATACGGCCTGGTCAGCTTAGTAAGGATTAGCTGGCGTTTTTCTGTAGAATGCAGAACTATGTCAGGTCTCAGGCCTGTCTTCCGGATTGACTCTGGGTACCTTTCAAAGCCAGGCAGTTCGACAGCCATTAACTAAAGCTTAGTAAGGATTAGCTGGCGTTTTTCTGTAGAATGCAGAACTATGTCAGGTCTCAGGCCTGTCTTCCGGATTGACTCTGGGTACCTTTCAAAGCCAGGCAGTTCGACAGCCATTAACTAGTCCCTCGCACAGTTAAGTATTGATGGAGCGAATGCAACCTTGTTGATTTTACCTTTATAAATCTGCCCAGCCTCAAGGAAGCCCATGGGGGTAACGGTAGGACTGGCCCTCACGTTGGCACCTCATCCTGGCTTGGTCCACAATGTCTACTAACTCTTTTAGGACTTTATTATGGCACCAGGTCTAGAGATTTTGTGTACGTGGACAATAAGTGCTCGAGCGTCTGCTTAGCTCTGCAGCGTGGGCATGTCGACTCGGTAATCGCATGCCATTTCGTCACGTAAACGCAAGATGTTAACACATCATACGTAGATCTTATGACAAAGCTCAGCTGCAGCGGGGCCATTTGCCAGATCTCACCCCATGTGAGTATTCATGGCAAGGTGCTCTCGAGGCCGATCCACTGGCCTTCTGGGACTGCCATGGACCTGAGTCTCATTTTCGGAGTACCTTATCTGATGTATTACCATGTTTCTACGCTCTTTGGCTGTGGCTTTGGACCACCGACTGACTTTCCCGTGTCCTAGGCCACTTCGGTCGGTTTTTGTGTACCCTATGGCTTCTTTCAATTTCATTGCATCTTAGGCAGATTCTGTCACATCTAGAATTTTCCGTTTCATACCTGTCTTTAGAGCGGGCTGGACAGCTGTCACTGTGGCGTCTATAGACTCACGCATCATCATCACGAGTCTTACCTTGCTGACTTTAAACTTTTTGTTTATTAACCTGTTTACAATACATTATAAAGTGCATACTAAGATATTTTTTTTAAGTATTAAGGCTTGTATGTTACTGACCACAGCACTCATCAATTGCTCTTTGATTAAGAAATGTCGCTATAGAATCATATCTTTGGTTTGCCTTGATGACCTTGAACCCAGCTTATTTTAGCTTTACTTTCTAAAGTTCAACCTTATCACCCTGAGAAGGCTAAATCTAGTCACTTCCTATTGTGACACACCCCCGAAAATGCAGATGAGTCTGTTCTTGTTTATTGATTACTACTATCGTGTATCTTTATATATTTCCAAGCAAAAATGTGAAAGATCTAGATGAATAAATTTTGAAACAATTGTGTAAATTAGTTTTTTTTTTTTTTTAATCCTTAGCCAAAGATTAATTTACATACCCCATCTTGTTTAGTTCTGCAATATCCACCTGGGGAGTAACAGAAAAATAAGCCAAGGAATGAATTGTGCAATCTGTTATTTGTTTCATCTTATGTATATATGTGAGTGTGTATGTGTGTGCGTGTGTGTGTTTTTAAACTAAATTGACACACTTGAAAAAAATAAAGATCCTTTATCACGCCTTTAGGCGTATTGGGTGTATGAGAAGAGCACCCATATTTTTACAGACCATCGGCGCTAGGTGGGTAATGTGGTCAGTGTTACGTCAGCCGTCTTTACTTCCCAAGGGTAGCCATCCTGGTTTCCATTTTAAGCTGATTCGACCTGCGACACCCCATATCATGATAAAAACCATGCAGCCAGCAGTGGGTTTCGATTGCAGTACGTCAATCTAAACACTTAGTTATCTTAAAATAATATGCGGTACATGTGATCTCTCAGGAGGTGCATGGAAAATCCTAAGTGGCTTACGAGAAGGACAGACACAGGTCGACAATCCTGAAAGTGAAGATGCTGCATATTTTGCTCATCCCATTGACATTCATTTTGCTACAAAAGGAATTCAAGGTTTGTACACATACTTTATTTGTCAGCCATGTGTGGGTAAATTATCGTTATGTTGACACCCTTTCCACGTGTAGTTTTATATGTGCTCTAAGGATATGTGAGAATCACAACCCTTAACGAGTAAGAATACCTCATGTTAAGAAAGGTCTGCCACAAAAAGTGCATAAGATTTTAGGACCATTGTTATCACATGTTTTTGACATTTTCCTCCACAAATTCTCAACTGTTGACCAGTTTACAGTCATTTCTATGTTTGTCCTTTTCCCTTCTCACTTTTTCCCCCCTTCCATGCAACACAGTCCATGGCATCCTCTTGCCCTGATCCATCTTACTAACTGTATCATTCATGCCCCTCCTGCACACAGCTTTATGTCTTAACAGAGGCCAACTTGAAAATCTTTTACCTATCTACAGTTTGTGATAGAGGATGTCCTTAGGGACTCTATGATCAATTAAGTGTGTCTTAGCCTTCAGAGTTTCTAAACACTTAGCAGTGGGAAAACTTTAATACTTGCTTTTTTCAGTACCTCATTGTTTACGATCTGTCACTGGCATTTTGATAAATATTATCAATTTCCCATAGCACCATGTGTCACTAGGTCACCAGTGCTGTTGATCCTTTCCCTTCATCTCTGTCAGTCAGATGCAATGGACTTATGTGCGTTCCCTGTGTATGTTCTAGGGCCCTAATGTATGGTAAACAAGAAGAGACTCACTGCAGACCCAGCAAGCATGTCATAGGAATAGACTAACTAGTGGCATCCTTCAAAGTTGGAGTGCATGTGCCTGAGAAGCAAGGAACCAGCAATCTGCATACAAATAAGCCAGATTAGTAAAAAGCAAATATGCATGCAATACTCAGATGCTGGAAACGAACAACTAGACCTTTCTGTCCGAGTCTACAGCCATTGAACACGAAGAAGAAGAAGATGTTTTTCACAGCAATGTGATGTAATAATGAAATATGTTATGTCACTATGAATCCATAATTTCTATTTTTTTTTTTTTTAAATCAGTTTTGTTTTACCCCAAATAATATTTAAGAAGGTTTGTGGGGTTTTTTTTTTTGGGGGGGGGGGGGGGTGTAAATATAATCATACCACACCTCCCCCTCTCCCCACCTAAATTTCTACACACTATACAGTTGCAGCCAGTACCAAAGCTGTCATACATTCAGACATACTGTCCAAAAATGTGTCAACCAAAACCATGAATAGCTGGAAAAACAGCTTTCTGGGGGTGAATTGGTAATGTGTCCCTACAAAAACATGGCTTTTATTGTACCTTCTACACAAGAACACTGACCTGTTCCGTTATTTTTGTGACTTTGTTAATTAGCTTACTATGACCACCTTTTTGCCTGGCACATCATGATGATGCCTTCTACAAAACTGCAACCCAACACTGCTCACGTATTCTTCTTTCGTTATTCTAGGTTGGCCACGGCTTCACTTCCAGATTTGGCACCAAGACTCTTTTGGAAGAAATGAGTTATATGGTTATGGATTTGTCCACATTCCCACATCCCCTGGCACACATGAAATAGACTGCAACACATGGCGACCCATTGGATCATTCATGGAGAGTGTTTCACAGTTCTTCCTCGGTGGTGGCCCCCATTTGAAAAACCCAGACCTCATCTACAGTGGTGCTGATAGGTACAGACTGCAGACTGTTGCCATGGGAACTGTTCATCTCAGACTTGGAATTATTTTGAGGAATTTTGATAAGTTTGGCATAGAATGTTGATGAGAAATATATAGTTTTCTGCTTTTTTTTTTAAATTATTTTACTACTTGAAAATTGTCATATCAAAATGGCTTAAACTTGAAAAATTTTTATTTATGTTATGTTTTTTGCATAATTACAACCAAGAACAAAATGATTGCATAGGTTATAGAAACATCATCATCTTCCCTTTATGTTGTTTATGCCTCATCTGGAGCTCACAGTTTTATTCTTCCATTCTGTTCTATCATGTGTAATCATTTTAGTATCATGGATGGAATCAAGCCCAGCAACCTTTGGCCTCTCTCATCAACATTTGTTTCCGGTTTATAGGAACATCCTGCGAGTGAAAATAATTATTGTTGGTACCAGATTTATTATACCAGAGGAAGTCTGTAAGTCACAAATAATTGGTTTAAAAAAAACTAAAGCTGATAACTTGAAAACATTTAATTTTTACACATACACTCTCCCTTTATTTTTCAATATAATTTTCACCACCATTGATGCACTTGTCCCATCGTTTTATCAGTCCTCCCAAATCTGCTTCATAGAACTGCGTGCTCTGTTTTCTAAACCATATTTTCACTTCACATTCAATTTCTGGCCTCATTCACGTAATGTCACCTGCCAAGGTGGGTTTTTAATGGACCATTATATTGAATGCTGAACCATGTGAGCACCCTATTGCAGCTGCTACAGTCAACCATTACTCGCCTGTTACCTCTAATTATCTCCTTCACCCTCTGCACGGATGCATCTGTTGCAGTCTCAACAGGATGACCAGACCAGATTTCATCAACACTTTTAGAGTCTTTGAGAAAAAAATTTTACCCAGCTATGCACCGCTTTACAGGATAAACATTTATTAGCATAAACAGGTGGCATTTATGAGTGTCCTTTGCAGGCAGCCGTTTTGCCCACCCCCCAACAAAAACCTCACACACAACAGCACGTTGTTCTTTGAGAGTACATTTTGTAAGTACAGTCGTCATTTGTTTCTGTGTTGTGAATGCTTATGCAACACTTAGTGCCACCTAGCAAACAGAGACAAAGTTTGATGTTGTTGTTACCTAATGACACTTTATGAAACCACCAACTACATTTCCCTGTCATCCAATAACCATATGTGAATTACTTATTGACTCCCCCTCGTATATTAGTATACCATGATCAGACATAGTGCACAAAGATGCAAAGCTAATGAAAGTCTGATGATGTTTGTACGTCTGACAGGCGCCATAATACATTTAGTGCTTGTATTTGCTATTGACTGTGTTATTTCACAAGGGGCAGTGATAGGCATTCTGTGTAATTTTTGCTGGCATATGAACAAAGCGGTTATGGTGTGAACCCTTTGCCGTGAAGTCATAACTATGTTGAATGGTGACAGTAGTAACTGTGATTAACTAATTAAATTGATGCCTTGAGCCATCCTTACCAACAGTTCAGTTGATATCACGCTGAACAACAACAGCCTTGAAAAAGTCAACAGTTTCACTTATCTAGGGAGCAAGATGTCATCTACAGGAGATACCGCACCAGAAATACCATTTAGAATAGCACTGGCATCTAGTGCCTTCAATAAACTGTCCAACATCTGGAAATCAAAGACACTTAGCAAACACACAAAACTCAAGATCTTCAATTCTTGTGTGATTCCAGTACTAACCTATGGATGCGAGAGCTGGAAATCAACGAAAACTCTAGACACAAAATTAGACAGTTTTGAAAATAAATGCCTTAGAAGAATACTAAATTGCAAATGGTCAGATTTCCGAACCAATACACAAATAAGGCAAGAATCCAGGCAAGAGTATGTGTCTAATTTTATACGAAAACGCCGCTGGAACTATGTCGGCCACGCCCTTAGAATGGATAAATCAAGACTTCCTTACCAAGCCCTCATTTGGACACCACATGGGAAAAGATCTCATGGAAGACCAAGGGAAACCCTACGTAGAACTATCATCAGGGAAGGCTCGCTCATGGGCTACTCCAAACATCCAAGACCTACAACAGATTGCAACGAACCGCCATGCATGGAGAGTCATGACCTCTGCCCTATGTGCCGCACTCGACACAAGAGGAAAGACTAACTAACTAACTTGAGTCATGCGTCAAACAGAATGGTGATGGATGTAGAAGAAAATGAAATATATTGGCTGTAGCCAGATTCAAGATAAAACAAGATCTGATTTTATTTGTTTCTTTTTTAAAATTTGAAGTTACTTAATTATGTATCTCCAGTATTCTTTCTCTGTTCCATCCCTAGTATTAGTTGATGGTTTCAGATGTGTACTGTTTGGTATTTTGACTATTTGTTTGTTTTCTGTTTTTTGTCTGAAAGTGGATAATCTTCAAGTGCAGCAATACTGAGTGAAGACGTATGCTTTCTCTGAGATACATACAATATTAGGCAATTGAGATCAGCACATTGTTTTTTTTTGGGTACTAAGAAATAACATAACACAAACTATGAGTAATAAATTCAATGGAGTGAAAGGAACTGATGCGCACAAATACAGCAGAACATTTGTGTTGAATTAAGTATTATCCTCATGTGAGTTCTGGGACCCCATAAGGTAAAGAGATTGGGGGGGGCAAGGTTATCCTTTAAAAAAGTCTCAGAAAAAATAACTAATTAAGAATTTGTTAAAATGTGGCATGATGGGTCAGAAAGTGTAGACGTCACAGCCTAGCTGTGAAACATAACATGCAAACCACATTTTATGGGTGAGTAGAGAAGATGAAGAATAGAATTAACTTAATATTTTATATCAACTTTAATGTATTCACCATATTTTGTACATCCCTTTTCATTGGTACAAATGTTTTTACCTTTAACATTATCATCTTGGGCTTGTTTTGTTGCTTTTTAATTTTAACATTTTCATTTTTGCACATGTCTCCACTGAATTTATGTTGAATAATCAATATCACAGCACTTGGGACACCCCCATAAGTGCTCCATCCCCATCTTTAGCAGCAAGAGAAGAGTTAAAATTCCGATGGTACCAGTAACTGTCTGATTGTCTCCACTGCCTTGAAATATAAAACATAATCAAAACAGTAAACAAATTGTAACTTTGCATATAAATATCTGCACAGATTAAGCTCAAAATTATTAGAGGGCAACATTTATTTAAAGTCATAACATCTATTATCATTCATATGATACTAGACCAGTTGGCACTTGAGGAGTGATATTGTCAAAATCACACCGACCACTTTTTCCCCAGGATATTACCTGATACCCATTTTAGGCTGGGTCGACCTGGGAGCTAAGGTCAATTTCTTATCAAATCTGGCTGAATTCAAATTCCATACCCAAGATGTTTGGTCCCGCAGGCAAGCATCCACAGTGGCTTCTTGTAGTAAGCAGTACCATAACATAATACTAATGAGATAGAAACACTCTAAGTAACACATCCTTTGTAGGTCATGAAGTATAATTGGGTACAGTGATTTTCCCATAATTGTTTACCAGTCCACATATTATGAGTGATATGTTCAGTATCCTACCAATTACTTTTACTTCTCAGGAAGTTTCCTAGTATCCATTTTAAGCTTGGTCAAGATGTCCAAGACCAGTGAAAAAAAATTGTTGCCTCAAAGGACATCGTTGTGTAGAAAAATGAACATTAAATAAATTCAAAATGTTAGATATTATGTTTATATAAATGTACCCAGTATGCAAATTTTCTGTGGAATAAGTGAGTAATATTTTAATAAATATTTGATATTTTATGATAGTATGTGTTGAAATTGTTTTTCCTAGCTCTTCTTGTTTTTAAATATTGTTTCCACAGTCACAGTTCTCACGGTTAATGATAAAAACATTATAAAGAAAAGCAACTAAGGTACCTGGGTCTTACTTTTGGCAGAAGTCTGCTCTTCGGTTACCATGTGAAGGTAGCTCCACAATTTGCTATCCCCAGCTGCGTGTATCAGTTCGTGTGTTGTCACCCCACCATGCCATGACAAAATGCTGTGAGGAATCTTTTTGTCCTGTCTTCCTCCGTCTATCATTCCAGTGGTCACAACTTGTTCCATTTTTCCCTCTTCTCATAACATGACCAAAAAATGATGAGTGTCTCTTTATGATGTTTGTGATAAGTTGTCTTCGAGGACATGCCTCTTTCAAAACGAGTTAATCTTCTTAGCTGTCCAAAGAATTATAAGGATTCTACTGTAAAACCACATCTCCAAGGCCTCAAGATATTGTTCAGCCAGTTTATTAATTGTCCAGGATTCACAGTCATATGTTAAAACCGGCTCTTTTTAGCTTGTGAGATTTCTTCTCCTAACCTCCAATGACATGGATTTATTGCACAAAATATTCTTCATTTTATAAAAGGCAGTTTTGTCCTGTCCTATTCTGTTCTTTATCTCTGCGATATATCTTCCATCGGGTATTATCGTCAAAGACGCGACCTTTCAATGATAACTTTAATTTTAAGAATAGAAAATAATCACTGGGTAATAGGATGGATGGTTGAGAACGCACACTTGTTTTGGGGCCAAAATTCCTATTTGGATGATTTCTTGTAGGTACCCAACCTGCTGACGTGTTTGGGTCATCAAACAACAAATGCAGCACAAACCTGCAAGCAATTTTTTTCTTTGCTTAAAATCGTGCACTAAAATTTCATGAAGGGTCTCTCTATTAACAACAGATTCATCCGCCATCATCCTGACAGTAAAACAACTATCTTCTTGCATCCGTTCAGTGACTTTTGCAATGAGTTCATCATTACAAACAGAAATTTATCGTTAAGGTCTAGTTGCATTAGTAATAATTTCTACACCACTTTTGAATTGTGAATACCACCCGAAAATCTATGCAGCAGATAAACAATTATCCCCATAAACTTGTGGCATCAATTCAACTGTCTCAATGGCGCTTTTTCTGAATTTTAAACATAATTTAATGTTAGCTTTTTGCTCCATGCTGATTTCATAACAATGCACATCTAACAGGGTCAATAAAGGCGGCTTGTTTGTCGTCTGCTTATCAG